ACTCCTGAAGACGGCATTTATGGCTGGCTTTTCACCAGAGAAGCCATCTACCCCTACCTGGAGGATATTCCTGATCCAGAGGTGAACTGGATTCCCTGCACTGATCCCAAAAGGTGAGTCCTTCTGCAGTGATTTATGTGGTTTCAAACTGGTGTCTCACAGAGCAGTGAGCTGTTCTCAATGAATGTGTAAGAACTGCTAATTTTTTATTTTTTTTAAATCTCAATTACTTCATAAATGAAACTCATCACAGTGAACTCTTAATTAAATGGGAATATGCAAGGTAAAAAGCACTGAGGCAGCCTCACTTTTCAAAATTGGAAAAGGAGGAAAAGGAGGAAACTTTAGGCAAAATCATTATTTTTAAAATCTGTAAAAACATGTATGTGTTTAAAATATGTAACATGCTGTTACTGAAGTAGTAATTTTGACTGCTTGTCTTCCACACTCATAATTAAATTTCAAAATTTTCTGGTTCTTCTTTCATCAAAAATGCATTAGATTTGCTCCTGCTCCAGTGCAGGAACGACTCAGCTGCATGGCCAGGAATAACTCTATCTATGTGGTTGCAAACATTGGGGACAAGAAGTCATGTAATTCTAGTGATCCTAGCTGCCCCAGAGACGGTCGCTACCAGTTCAACACTGATGTTGTCTTTGACTCAGAAGGAAAACTAGTGGCTCGTTACCACAAGGTGAGAATGAGCTTTCGCATCAGCCTGTTCCTTATTATTAATGTACTTTTCATCTCTCTGGCAGCAGTTTCAGTAGTTTGTTACAATAATTTTATATAACTGTAGAGTGACAGCCAATCCAGGATGATGCAATGCCAGCATCTTGTGGCCAGAAGGAAAAACAGGCAAGAAATGACTGATCAGTCATGATTCCCAGGAGCACCTCAGCTGCAGAGTGCATGTCTGATATATATAAAACACTAAAGCCTACATTTATGACAGTTAACTGAAAAGACATGCAGCTTTCCATACGTGTAAATGGTTAGCAGGGTCCTTGTCATGGTTTTAGCCAGGCACTTTCCCAGACAGTATCTAGGCAGAGTTCAGGAGCTAAAACTGACTAGGCATTTCCAGAAGGCTGCAGGGATGCAGGCACATGGTATTGCAGGATATTTTTGTAGAAAGCATTCAAGAGACAGCCACTGATACTTGAGGGTCTCTCTGCCCACTGGTCAGGACTGCTTGGCTGCGCAGCGCTGGCGTTCGCTGTCTCAGTGCTGAGCACAGCAGGAGGCCAGGCCTGGAGGAGCATCAGAGGGGGTTCAGCCAAACCATATTGCCAGCGCTTGCATTTCGCCACAAAGCAATTGTGGGACTAGCAGCCGCGGGACGCTAGGTGCTGGTGTGCATGCAGGCTGCCGTCCCAGCAGGCATCGCTAGGTTGACCCTTCAGGGTACTTACGCCAAATTTCATCAATGCTTATTTGGCTTATAGCGCTAAGTGTGGCATAAGCAGGTGTCATACCCCATATACCGAAGTGAACCTGCAACTTCTGTGTTTGTTACCTAATTTTAGGGGGCTTCTGGGGTGTGGGTTTTATTTACTTTGATTTGCTATCTCTGCTGAGCCATTTCAGATCTGCAGCGGCTACAAAGGGAGGTTTGAGTGACTATTTGAGATAAAGACCCTGAATTCTGCCTTAAGGCAGTTTTAGACACAAAAGTAGCTATTCGTAATCTTGCATTATTTTTAATTCTAATGTGTCTTTTTCTTGGCCTACAGTATAACCTCTTTAGAGGAGAAACTCAGTTTAATTTCCCTAAAGAGCCAGAGACCGTCACTTTTGAGACACCCTTTGGGAAGTTTGGCATCTTCACTTGTTTCGACATACTTTTCCGTGAGCCTGCGGTGGTCCTGGTGAGCGAGTTACAGGTGGACACTGTGCTGTTTCCAACTGCTTGGATGAATGTCTTGCCATTTTTGACTGCTGTTGAATTTCACTCTGCCTGGGCTATGGGTATGGGTGTCAATTTACTTTCAGCAAATACACACAACACTGGCTTGGCAATGACAGGTGAGTTGCATTTAGGGAAAAGGGAAATTGTCTTAATGGTACTGGATGCAGAAGCAGGCCAAAATGTTTTAGAATGAGTGACGTCTCTGAAAAATTAAGAAAACTAAAATATTCTTGATATTATATTGAATTTAATAGCTAATAGCTGCAGGCAAGAAAATGCTGAAAGTTCTAGGAGAGTTGTAATTAGAAAGATCAAGACATTGCATTCTGGTATTTTAAAACTGATTTTTTTTTTCAAAATGGCACAAAGTTTCACTTAAATTTTCAGCCTTTCAATTTTGGAGCAGATTTTTTTTGTTTAAAAATCAATGAACAATTAAAGGGAGAAAACAAATGTCTTAAACAGAATTTAATAAGCTGAAAACAAAAGAAGGGTTCCTGTTTTGTACTGAACAAAACATTTTCAGGTTTTTTCTGTTACTGTTAAAGAGTTAGAGACATTTATGCTTTGGTTTGATCTAAATAAATATTTATTCTCAATTTTTTCTATAAACCGAGAAACCATTGCTGTAGCTGCATCTGCAATCTGTAATTCTTACCTGAAGCAGAAGTGAAAGCAACAAAGGAATATTTTTGTCTGTTCTATTTCTAAGTACTTTGAGTTGAGTTTAGCCTAAAGCTCTAGATTTCTTCCAATGAAATGTAATTATCCCTATGATTTCTTTCTTTGGCAAAAGTGACATTTATGAAGCTCTAATTTAGAATAGACAATCTAAGTTTAAAAAAAATTACAGGTTTTTATCTCAAATTGTCTTTCATAGGCCTTCAGATTCAAAATCTAGTGAAGCACATAACTTGATCTTGATGGTTCTGCTATTTAAAAATTTTTCTAAAATAAAGTTTGAGGCACATTTTAATGCGTTGATTTAAAATATTTTAAAATTTAAATGTTAAAAGGTTACATAGCTCGCGATGTGTACTCAATGCTTCCACACAGCTGCACCATAATATTTTGTGTGTGTCATTTACAGGGAGTGGGATATTTACACCAGATGGCCCTGTTGCATATCATTATGATCCAGAAACTGAGGAGGGTCATCTCCTGATAGCAGAGCTGAGATCACGCCCCCGTCTTTCTCCTACCTACCCTCTTGCTGTCAACTGGAGCTCATATGCCACAAGCATCAAAAAATTTCCAGAGGGAAAAAACACTTTTACAGGAGCTGTTCGTCGTGATATATTCACTTTCAGTGAACTCACACACAAAGCAGGGAATTATACTGTTTGCCAGAGAGACCTCTGCTGTCATTTGATCTATAGGATGTCAGACAAGAACAAAGATGAAATTTATGTACTGGGTGCATTTGATGGTCTTCATGGTTCTGTCATAAAATATCATTGGCAGGTAATTTGTTCAATAGAAATGAGTATGGGATATATATTTTCTTAGTGGCTGTTAAGACATCCAAGTTCAATTAGTAAATGTATTGAATTTTAATTTTATTTTTGAGGAAAAAAATGATAAGTCTTTTCAATCCCATGTGCACCCAAAGCATGCAAGGGTCCTTGGGGCCTAAATGAAGGAATCATTCCAAAATACTTGTTCATTCCTTCATCATGAGAGCTTTTCTTACTATCAAACCCAGCTCATGATTGTTTAAAGCTGAGAAGTAAGTTGCTTTTCTGTATCCTCTCCCCCACAGATATGCACGCTGCTGAAGTGTAAAAGCACAGACCTGAAAAGCTGTGGGCAGCCCGTGGAGACTGCTCAGACCAAGTTTGACACGTTCTCCCTGAGCGGCACATTTGGCACTCACTACGTCTTTCCAGAAGTCCTGTACAGCGGGGTTCAGCTGGCCCCTGGGGAATTTGAGGTAATGGGATGCCCTCGAGCTCCTTCACCTTAGGTTCTCCAGGCCTTGGAAAGAGAATGGTAACTGAGGTGGTGACAAAGTTAAACAAATCCAAGGACTACTTTCTTTGATTTTGAGGACCATGATTCAGGAGGACATTTAAATGCATGGATTGAGTTAGTCCTTATTGAGGAGAGGTGTAAATGCTTAGGCTGAGAATTTCTTGAGTGTTTTGTATTAAATATGGATTCCCACTTCAGATCCCAAATCCATAAATAACAGCTTTTAAAGAACTATTTTCTAAAGGTTTCTGTTAATGAGCGTTTTAGGAGGCAAAGAAATCAAATGCTCTGAGTAATGTAGTTGTCCGAACAATAAAAATTGCTAATGAGTATCATACATAAAAGTAGATATCCTGTGCAAGAAAAAATACTGAAAGGGGGTTGTGAGGTTTTTGTGTGGTTTATAATTTTTTTTTTATTTGAAACTTCATAAAATATTTTTGCCATAAAATGTTTTCAGCCATAAGCCTTAGATTATATTTATGTAAGAGGCTAGATGAAATGTTAATTTATTTGAGAGCTATTTAATAGCTTAGAAGAGATAACAAAGACAATGAAATGAGGCTTGAAGAGTTTTAAGAGAAGCAGAGGTGGTTTTTTTGTAAGGTAGAAAATGGAAAAGCACTTGCTCATGCTGTATATTTGTTTTGAATGGGACTTTTGTAAAAACATTTACATCAAAGGATTATCAGGTATGCTATAATGTGATCATGGTTTAATTAAATTTTTTTTATATTTTCTTACCAAATACATGGTTATCGATTGTCACAAAGGCTCTTAAAAGTTGCAGATATATGTAATCAGTCTACAAGAGCGATTTCAAATTGATTGGTAAAAAGTAGCTAAGAAAAGCAACATATAGCCAGTAGACTGAAATTCTCTGTACTTCCACCTGGAAAATGTTTAGGAATCTACTAATCAAAGAAGATTTAAAATTACTGTTCTATATAGATAGATAGATAGATAGACAGAGAATTTGCATGGCTGTGTATAAGTAACTGATGAAAACTTAAATCTGTTGTTATCACTCATGCCTTCTTATGAGGCAGAGAAAATGATCTTCATTACAAAGATGGAGCTGGAGGAAGTTTTAAAGAACTTTGGGTCCAAGGAGATGTGGGAAAGCCATGGCAGAGCTGAAAACAATACTTAGATTTTCTGAGCTCTGTTTTAGTGACTTAATTGCAAGAACATTTCCATGCATGAGTCAGAGAGAATTCTAATTTGTTTTATTTTTCTTTTATTTTTATTGTTTATTTTTCATGATGTTTTCTGTGCCATGTGATATTGCTGCTCTGTTAGTGGAATACTAGTATCATTCTTTCTTTTTCCACTAGGTGCTGCATGATGGACGATTGAAAAGTAAGCATAGCTCATCGAAACCACTCTTAACAGTGACCCTTTTTGGAAGGAATTATGAAAAGGACCCACCGCATCCACTGCGAACCTCCCCATAATGTAACTCCTTAATCTTTAAACAGTCAGCATACATAGGATAAGAATTTCCTACCGTTAACCATCCTGCCATGAGCTGTGGCAGTTACCCTGTGTCATTCCTGTTCTGCAACGTTACACTTGTGCTTAGCAGCCACGGTAGTTGAGTTTTCTTAGGAGAAAGCAATGTGATTGCTATCTGTTGTGTACACGTAACCATGGTACACATTTTTTAACAGTGCTTGAGCCAGTGTAGTTATTTTTTAACAGTGTAGAGATGCTTTGTCATGTGAAATCTTTAATATGAAATAAATTTTGTTTTTCAAAGATATACTGTCGATCCCTGAGGTAAAACAGGTCATAAGACTGACACTGAAATGTGGAGTTTTCCAATTTGCTGCAATGAAAATCTTCTCTGAAGGATCCTTTCTGTCCCTTATGCTCCTGCCTGATAGGTTTACAGGCTGTATAAACACTTAGGGTCTGTGTTCCTCAGACCTACACAGCAATTGGTAGGGCCTTCGTAATACTCTATGGGCCTTGGCCCCATTCTGACTGAGGGACTGTACCCTGAAAAGAAAAACTTATTTGAAATGGTTTTAAGTGAAACCATTTAGGTGAGAGAGAAAGTGGTTCTCCTTGACCCACACAGGGTTTGAGTCCAGCTGAGCTCTATAGAAAGCAATGTCAGTTCTGGAGTCACTCTGAGCATACATCAATATATGAATGGTGTATGCATGCTAGGTTCAATGTATTTCAGGTCCAACTTACTTAATGTTAATGTAAAAACATTATAAACTTACTGTGTAAACATTATTAAATGTATAAACCTGCACATGCTGCTGGGTGTCCGGAAAATTTCTTCAATACTGTGAAAACACAGAAGGAAGACAAGTAACATATGCTTTTTGTACATGAAAGATTTATCTTATAGTATGAGAACTGTGCATTACATAGGATTTCTAGCAATGACATATGAAACTTGGGAGTCCTGAGCCTGGTTTGTGTCTGCCCTGTTCCGCAGCAAACAACCCTCATTTGCACCACATACCCCTTGGAGTGGTCCTTGGCTCAGTGTTTATCTCATAATCTTTTGTGTCTGCTGCCCTTCACGTTTGTGGCATACAGCATGCACCAACCTTAACACTGAGCTGCCCTCAGTGTGGCACATTAGAAACACTCTGTGGCCTCTCACCCAAGCACACCAACATGAGTTATCCAGGATTTGTTGAAAAAACATGATGGCTATTTTCCTTGTGCTGCTGCTTCTCAACACACAACTTTGGAGACTTTTTATAGGACTTGCTTTATCCTGGAAAATAGAACAGCTGAGCTTGTATTCAGAGGAGAGATTGTACCACTTAAGAGCAATTATTCAAGATATGCAGGGCTTAGAGGTCATGGTTGCTTCTGGCTTGTCCAGCACCCTTTTCTCTCCTGAGTTGTGGTTGTCTTTCACCAAAGAGTGGAGGTTTTGGGCAAGAGAGATTATGGCCCGCTGATGGGAGTTCTAATTGCACATTACTGTAAGGTGTCTAACAAGTGTGGAGACCAGAATTTCAATAGGCAGAGAGCCACATTGAAGCTGGGAGCTGATCTCTGCTTTTCAGGGCCAGTGTGATACACCCCAGGAGCCCCTTGTCCCATGCATAAGGGGCAACAGTTTGGGGAGGGGAAACAACAATGAGCATGCTGGTTATTAAGGTCTCTGCAATGCCATCCTATTGACCATACAGACACACTGGTTTGCACTGGGATCAGCACAGAGGGATGCATGTATGGTGAAAAGCATCTCTGAAGCCAAACAGCTGAAAGCTTTGGTCTGGAAAGAGTCAGGCAGCCTGCAGTGCTTTTCCATACTTCCTCCATGTGCTTCTCACTCATCCATATAGCCCAAGAGAAGCAAAGGAGCAGCCACAGCCTCACAGAAGGTCTGAAAAGGACTACCCTGACATTTGAACTGAAAAAGTACTCAAAAAGATCTTAAAATATTTTTTAAAAATTAACTTAAAAAGATAATTTTCCCAGTTGTCCCTGAGCTCTGCTTTTTTTCATGTCTATACCAGAGAAGGTCCCTATGCTTTTCTGTCCCAGTCAGGGTCATGCCTTGTCTAAGGAAGGTCAGGCCTTGGCTCCAGTAGGGTAGGACTGGATGTCAGAAAGGAGCTCCATTTGTGGACGGATAACAGCTCCTTCTGGGGTCTTCTCACAAGAAAGGTGCTCCAGGACCTGAAAATGACAAGGAATAAGAGAGCAAAGGTGTGTAACCAGAGAAATACCTCCTTGTCGCAGATTGTTCCTTGCCTCCATCTCCTACTGATTGCAATTTAGGCAGTATGTGCCTTTATTACCTTGCCTGAAGTTGCTCATAAGAAAAAAGAGAAATAGCTACTGCACATGAGTATAATTTGACTTTTGTTTTTGTTGTCACAGTCATATCATTTGTAGGCATTAAAATCTTCTTTCACTGATTGGTGTCCTCAGCTTTACATGCTAATCCACAAAAAAAGAAGAATCTGAGGACATTTTAGAAAGACATTGCTTACAGATGCACCATTGCTTTAAAGGTTTCTGGCATTCTTAAGTCCTCAGAATTTCATGCAACCCCAAATGCACATGCAATTTATAAATATATTTCTGAAACTGAAGTGGAATATAGTCGGTAGATCTGGTTGGAATATAATTCTAGACGTTCAGCCTAGTATTGCTAGATTTATCTGTCTTATATCAGATTAAACATTCATAAAATAGCTGTAAAGATGAAGTCAGTGAGTTTATTCAAACTTCTGAGCTAATGATAATGAAAATAGGACCCCTGGGGAAATGATTAATTTGTAATAAATATTTTCTTTTTATTCAAGGATACCTTTTATGCCATATTCTGCTCCCTTATCACTGTTTAGGCTGTGATAACTGAACGTGTGATAGAACGTGTGAGAGATCACACACCTCCTGCTGGGATTTTTGAAGTATGGTATGCTTCCCAAATACATGCAGAATTAACTCTCTTTGGCAGTCAGAGTTGGAAATAGGTAGAATACAGTTGATATTGTTAGTGAAGTAACTTGTAGGATATAGTAAAAGGGGTAACATAAGTCTGATTATGTGAAAAATACATGTTATTTTATGACTAGGCTCATTAGAAGCAGAACTGTATTAAGACAGAAAAAATGATCTAACACCCGAGGCTTTCATTTTGGTTCAAGGAACAGATGGTAACATCAGTACAGGAGTAAAGAGTCTGAGTGTTGCCAGCTATGGGTGGATTTATCCAGGCGTTCTGAAAGGCATCAGAAAAGGATTCTCAAACCTCATCCATTAGGGATGTAGAAGACATCTTTGAAGATCACACTGAAATCGGATTTGAAGAACAGCTGACCTGTAGATTTGAAGAAGAGGTGACCTGTAGTTTCCAAGACTTGCTGTGCAGATTTCCCCTCTTTGAGAATATAATGAGGGCCCCATAGAATGGACCGTAGAGGAGTTTTTTAATCACTTTCCTGTTTCTGATGATAAAACAGGAATTTAATCAAGTAAAGGACACAGTTATGTGAACACCTCCCCAACCTCCTATGTTTTCCTCAGGGGAAAGAATTTGAGTTTCTGAAAGAACCAGGGGGCATTCAGTGAATGGATATGCCAAAGGAGAATGATCAGTTTAAATTATATGCAATTCATCTGAACAGCTTGACCCCAAAAGCTGCTCCAGATGGTGTCCTAATGAACCCCATTTTTTTCTGAACTGGGAAAGCCTGGTCTTCAATTGTCAATATTTCTTTCTTAAACGTTGAATGTCAGCCAAAGCAAACAAGACCCACCTGTCCATGGTGTCTCTGGTCACACATGAAGAAAGTTGTGCTTTAAAACAAGTCCTTAACTGATTATATTGATGAAAGGCTAAAGGTTCAGATGAAGGTAAAAAAATCCTGCATTAAAACACGTGATCCAAACTTTATGGCTGACTTCAGTAAGACTGGTCATAACTTTGAGGAAACTTGAGTAAAATTTAATGCATTTTATTGTCTATATTGAATTAAAGCAAGCAGGTCTTAGACGTTAAGCAAAAATAGAGCAGCACAGAATCATAATAACCTAACTTTTTTTTAAGAGAGCAGGACAGAGCAAGACACAGCCCTGTCTTTGTAAGCACATGTTAGCCTTCATAGCCTCAAGTTTCCATTAAATAACATAGAACAGCCAGGTGCAGTCAGAGATTGTGCAATTCTTAGCCACAGTAATACAAAAGTAAACGTTCCTGAATGACTCATGTTATTACAGGTGAATTGCTGGCAGTATGGGACGCCGTTCCTAGGTACATAGAATCAGTACGAGATATCATGACCTGAGTTTGAGTTGAAGAATTCATACGTTTTTAATTAACCAAGAACTGAATTGTAACTCCTGCTAGTCCAGATAGTGTTTGCAATGTCATCGTCCATCATCAGGGCAGGAAACCTGAAAAAGAGTAGACTTGACTTTTTCTGAATGAATTGAGAAATAATTTGGATAGATCAATAAAGACAGCAATAATTATTATGAGGCTCACTACAGCTGATACAGGAACGCTTCTCAGTGGCTTGTGATGGACTGTTAGACGCTATGGAGTCAAACATGGGAAACGATTTCAGCATATCCTCTAAAAATTAACCTCTTGAAAATTGTTACAGTGGACAAACAGCGCCTCCCACAGAAGCCACAGATGGGCGTAACAGTGTTACCCAGGGTTGTCTAGCTATGGCTCAGCCATAGCTAGCAATGATCAGTCTTGGTCAAACAGAAGCTCAGCATGTTGACAACAATATATTAATTTCTCTTTCAGTTTAGGAAACAAATGAAGAATTAGCCGAATCACTTGGAGCCGCTATCTATGAAAATATTAAAATGTTTCCGGCAGCTACTCATTACTATACAGTTGCAAGCAAAATACTCCCTTGTCTGTTCAACTAATCTCATGGCAGCTGTGAACTGGCAGTAGAAGTGTACAGAGTCTAAGTAGTGCATTGTAACTACATGATTCTAACTTTGCCTATCCATTATCATTTGCTGCTCCTAATGTTAATGTTAATTTTTATGATCTTATAGTCTGATAGCTGAGACAATGTCAGGATATATGGTGTCAGCACCAAGAAATGTAGGAAACTAATATATTTTAGTGTTGGAAAAAATAGGTAATCTTTTGGAAACAGAGCACTTTGGAGAAAAAAAAAAGCAACTAAGTAGTTGCATATAGTTGGTTGTTCAGCTCATGTACTGCAAAATATAACCAAGTACTTTAGAGATGCCCTTCAACATCTAATGATGATTTATGTAACAAAAGCTTTTGATCATTTACCTCTTCTGCTAAATGGGTGTTAGGATTACAGGAGATACTTGAATTTATCAAAGTAAAAAATATATGGAAACATTAAGGTCTGTTTTTACAGGATGGTTATTTCTCTATCCTGCAACTCACCTTGGAGGATTTTCCACTCATTTGAGATTGCTTTTTGTACACTCAGAAAGGACTATTCAGTTACAGTTTGGGGGTTCCTTAAGACGGATGAAAAGGCAGTGAATAGCTGTCAAAGACTGAACACTGCTAATCCTTTACAGTGTGCTACAAGTTTTTTATGAAACAGTATTAAAATTAGAATAATCTGATATTGTGCATGCTGACATTTATGACACAATCTTTTAAAAGGGAAACTATGACACAGAATTGACAAGAAATAATTTGGTTCTAAATGAATTGTTATCTAAAACACACCAGAAAAAGGCAGAGAAATAAGGAAAGATATTTCATTGTATGGAACATGTTAGCTTTCAAATATCTCACTTTAGGTTTAGATTTCTGCAAGGAA